GAATTTGTTTGTTATTCATAAATATCAGGGTTTGTTTCATTGATCTGGAATGTTTATTTTATTGGTGGTGTTGTGGTTGAAGGGTGGTGAACAGACGAAGATGGAAGAGAACGAATTCTATGCGATTGAAACGTTCGGAAGTACTGGTAAAGGGTTTGTGCACGATGATATGGAGTGTAGTCATTACATGAAGGATTTCGATAACAGTTCGGAGCACATTCCACTCAGGTTGTCGATTCTGTTTCACATTACCTTAATAATAGCATCGTTTTTGTTTGGGTATCTGAGCGAAGTCTTTTGTTTTGTTTTCAACTTATGAACTGCATGAAATATGAGTCGCAGTATGGTGGAGATGTGATAAGGCGAAGTACTTGATTGGTCTCACATGAGTTGTATTGGAATGATAGGGAATTTGAAAGGCTCCTTTATATCGACTGATCTCATTTTGATGATCACTGCGATGAAATGCTTCTGAAGATGAATTTGAAAAAGAAGGGAATTTCATTATGATACTTTTGAGGTTGGCCCGATCGAAGAATCTTCTAAATGTGATCACCAAAAATTTCGGTACACTGGCGTTTTGTCGTCGTTGGTTGGATCGTTTGGGTGAGACGAAGTATTTGATGGCCTTGAAAGATCTGTGTGATAAAGGCATTGTACAACCATATCCACCGTTGTGTGACGTTAAGGGTTGTTATACGGCACAATGGGAGCACACGATCCTCTTAAGACCTACTTGTAAGGAAATTGTGAGTAGAGGTGACGATTACTGATTCAGTGAATAGCTGATTCAACTTGGACGTTATTGTTGCTTGAATCAGAATGATTAGTTAAACATTTGTTGATTCGATTGATTTTGTTCGATTGCATACTTATTGATTGCTTATATCATCTTATTGGAAAACATGACGATTTAACACAACCCTATCTTATGTCAATATTAGTATTAGTTCTTACGATTAGAGTAAAGTTTTGTTTTATTAGTAATATTCTTCACCACAAACAACAAGTAATATTCTTCATCTCTTCATTTCAACCAAATTTTCGTATTAAAAAAAGATTTCCATGTCAAAGTTATCATTATTTGTTGTGTTTGAGTCTCGTAACTTTGCATATATGTATATAATACATGCGCGAATGATGTGTGTTGCATATTGCATCTTATTAACTCGTTCACGTCAATGATATTCTATGATTACCATCGAGATATTTATACGATGGTATATTATCGTAATTGACCGTTTAGCGGTCAATTCATGTTGTGTTCTGTTTTGTTTTTATGGTTATTGTTTTTATTCTTTCAATCGTTTTGCATCATCTTTCGATATTAATGTGGCGAAGATCTGTTTGATGCGAAGAAGAAGATACACTGAATAAAGACCGTTTGATGACATGGATCAAAGTTGCGTTGCATATTGATCGGTTGAATCGCCATGATCATCAGATGAAATATGTGGTCTGAAGTTGACCAATATAAAGTCGGATGTATCCATTATTATCTAACTGCGTTTGGTATATTCAAACAATTGAACCGCCGAGAACAGCACAGAAATGCGCGTGTGATACGTGAAAATAGCGTCAGGAATGCTGATTAGATGCTTACGAATTTCAGAACAGTATCGAAGAAGGTGGAAATTAACAAAGACTAAATGAAATAATGTCGGGTGGGTGGTGGAGAAATGAAATACCTGCAATGCTTAGAGGCTTGCCTTTGCTTGTCCGCAGTCAACTTGGTTATGAACTGCGTCAATCTGAAAAAAAGTGAGTTGGTTTCGATTGGTCTATTGTTGGCTCTGTCGTGTAATC